TGATGCATTATGATGACAAAGTAGAATTTCTTCAAGTCTTACAGATAAGTTAGCTCCTTAAGATTTCCAAGCTCCTTAGGAATGGGCCCAGAGAATGCATTGACGATAACAGACCTTGACACAAAAAACATAATCCACAAAATTACTAGTGGCTTCTCAAATAAGAATGAGTAAAAATAACACACCAAAATCAATGAGTTTTACCTACGGAATAGGCATGATTACCACAATCAGAAAGAAGTGAGATGCATTGATGGTAATCAGTGTAAATGATGGTTTTTAATACTGGCATATAAAATGAGACACTGAAGTAAATACAAAGTGCTTCACTTCACAGAGTTGAAGATCTTTAGCACTTCAATGATTTAGCTTCATAATGAAGGGTCAGTGCCTCTTTTTATAAAGAAAGTAAGATGTAATTAGCAGGCTGATACATGTATTCTAGACAGCAGAGGCATTTCTGGAACCAAAAATCAGAAAAACTAGGCATGAAAATTTCAAAAGTTTTTGACAAATGCTATTTATTAGAGTATAATAAAATACTTTCATAAGACCATCATAATCCATGCTTACAAGTACTGCAATGTAGATAAATTGCCAATCCATGCCGGCAAGGTACCGGTGATGTAATTTTTCCCTAGGTTCCTGCATCGTCAAACAATGAACAATTCAGTACTCTTAAAAACTCTCCAGGAAAATGATAAAATGTCAGTTTGTAGGATTAAAAGAAAAAGAGAAACCATACAGATAGGTTAAGAATTTGAAAGCCAAAAGCTCCTCCGGCATCACCCCTCGTACGTTCAGTGAAGCCACTCCCCTGGGAAAATGAACAAACAGTTAGAGTGCAATTCCGCAACCGATCAAAAGTTCGAAACAGAACTGAATGCGTTCGCCAGAGCAGCAAGAGACGGAGAGAGTACAGTTTGGTGATGTGGCAGGTAGTGGCATTGTCGAAGGAGCAATTGCATGTGATGTATGGACTGTCGGAAGCGTCTTGGCTCAGAGCAGTTCCAGTGCATGGTTCGCCGCTGATATTCCAGGAATTCGGCGGTGCCCGTATGTCCCATTGTTGGAAGATTGAGTTCAATGCACTCACTGCATCACAAATCGAGAAACGTCAAAATGCTTCTGGTACTTTCCAGGTTTTAGAGGAAGCTGATCTAATTTTGTTGCTTCCTTTACGCGGGCAAAGATTCGTACCCATGAGGAATTGCTTTTTGGGCCTTTTACAAGTAGAGGCCACTGCAATAGTGGGCCTCACGGAATCACATGGGCTCTATGATTTTCAAACTCCTGAATCTCGTAAGACAGACAGACAGAACAACTATTTTTTTTATTTTTTGATTTTAGATTTTGCACGTTGGAAAGGTACATCTTTCTAACCTCTTAACTCCTGTCATGTGCGCATGCGATGCAAATTAAACAAACAAAAGTAAATCTTACACGCATGGACACTTATAAATGATCAAAGTGTTAAATTTTCAACATGATTAATAGATTTCTTGTAGATGTACCTATCTGCACTAAAATTCTTTTTTTTTTTTTCTTTGACCTAAAGTACTTCGATTTAGAGTCGCATAGCTGAAAATAATCTAATTACCTTTTGAATTTTAAAGAAATGAAGAAAAAAAGGAGCCTTCGAACAATATAGTATATTTAAAATATTTTTGAGCTCAAAAGTCGAGGATAAATGATATCTACAATTATTTAGAGAGGAGATGTTTACTTGTTGAATTCACTGTTTGGTGCTATTTATAATAGACGGTTTGGATTAA